CCTCTTGGACTCTATTAGCACTTAAATAAGATATTTGAATCTGAAAGTCTAGGTGAATACATGTCAGATGTTTTAATTTAGTTGTGTAGTTTGATGAGTCCATTTGGAAGTTGATCAAGTTAAATTTTAATTTCTGTATTTTTCCTTTCTTAAGCATTGTACAAAATTCTCAGATCAACGTGTTGGGTTGTGTGTCATATAGTATCTTTTACTATGGTAAAATAATAGTTTATAATAAATAAATTGTGATTTTTTTATTTACTGCATTTATTTATTTATTAAGCATGCAAATTAAAGTCTTATGATAATATAAATTGAGTACTTGCGTTGAGAAGTATAGTATGACATAACTTGTATTTTGATCATAAAAAATTTGTTCAAAGTATGAAGGTTGGTATCTTGTACTAAAATGTTGTAGTATTGTCTGATTCACTTTTGGATTTGTGATTCGTCCTTATCACAAAAAGAATTGACATTTGTAAACTTGAAGTGTGTTGAATGAATCACGTGTCGAGTTTAATTATATAGCATGACCATGCAGAGAGTTAATTCATTTGATCGCCGTGTATTTTATCTATATCCTTTAGTAGGGATACGTATATATTTTCATGACTTTAATGATTTTTTTATTCATCAATGGATGAGATCAATTTAGTTGATCAAATATCTCCATGAGTTGGGAATTTAAGAATGAACGAAATCAAGAACGTAACTTTGTGTCGAGGACCGTCGTCCTGAAAAATAGATAGAGTGACTACGAAGTACTTTGTTGAACGGTTAAAACTTGAACTTAGTATTTAGCAACGACAAAATTTCGACATCTGTGATTAGTTCATAGAACCATTGAAGAAAGTGGTATTTAAGTTAGTGAGAATAATTAGAATGGTAAAACGATCATTTATGCTCATATCTAATTATCGAATTTCGAACAGAGATAAAATTATACACGACAAGTTAGAGGAAAGTATTACAAATATATTGGCTTCGTGATCTTTTATATTCCGAGAGTGAAATCTTTTTCCTTTAGTGGAAAAAGTAAAGACAAATAATAGATTAAAGGGGAATTTGATTAAAAAAAAAAAAAAAACCCCCCAGTTAAACAATATTATTGGTAAAATAACCTTCCTTTAATGTTTTTTGATGAAATAGCCTTCATTTACAAAAAACAATAAACA